TATATGGCTCTATAACTCGTGATGTATACACTTATATAATTTATAGAATTCTTTTGCATTATCGATAAAAATTTCTCTGCGTGGAAATACATGCCCCAACTTCTATCGTAGAAATTTTTTGCTGTAAGAGCGCATGTTTTTACTTCCGCCTAACCTTTTTAACATTTCGAGTTTTGGGGAAGAGATAAGAAAAATATATAAAAGAACAGTATCTTAAAGTTTGTGATTATTTATCTTTTTATTAAATTTTTTTTTATTGCTTTTACCATACACGTTAATAAAAACATCTATTATTTTTTTGCGCTTTTTTCAATCATGTCTACTAAGTTACAAACAAAACTTCGTAATTTCTTAGTTAATGCAGAAGAACAGCATATAACCTCAGGATCGGTCATCTATAAAGCTATAGAAGACAATCTATGGATAGAAAAAGATGAATTGAAAGATATTATAAAAAAGGTGGTATCATTCACTAAAAAGAGAAGTATTCAGGATTCCTTGTGATATGGAATACTTTGTGATATTCTTTCAGAGATGAGATAGCAAATTTTCATAAATATATAAGTTGTATTGGATGATGTTTACGCAGACAGTGGTGCTACTGAGAAAGAGAGTATAATAGCTCAAGTTCTCTATAGCCTACCAACAGGATTTTTCCTCGACAGTGGGAGGGTTCTTTAGGCTATAAATACATGCTCAATTTTATGTTGTTAATTAGCATCACACAAGATTTCATTTCTGTGATAGAGTAGCTAACCTCACAAAAGTGGAATCTTGATTACATTCTGATAGCGCATGTGCTATTGAAAAATAATCTAATTTGTACAAATAGAAACTAATTTATTTCAATGACTATTTAGTTTGATGTTTCATACAAAACAGTCAATAGTTTCTGTGCTCTCGGAATTGTAAAAGTAAATGACGAAAAGCCTCTCACTTCAGAACAAATTCAGAAAAATATCAATAAGTTGAAATCGAAGTTAAAAAAGAAATGGAATGAGAAATTTTTATCGATAATGCAAAAGAATTCTATAAATTATATAAGTGTATACATCACGAGTTATAGAGCCATATA